ATTGTTTCAAATTTTGCCCTGAAACGCTCTTATCTGAGGTATCTCATCTATCCATACAGTTTTAAGTACCTTTCGTATGCTGGTGATGTTTAATCTCAAATTGATTATCCATTCCAGGTCTTTCTCTTGAGCTTCAGACCCAGAAATCCAATTGTCTACTTGTGAAGTCTCACTGTGAAACTAGATGTCTCACAGGCTTCTCGAGCTAATCAGTTTTCAAAGTCTGTTTGCCCTTTCGGTGACAAGCCCCATTATGCATCCATTTTCATGGCAAAATTCTGGGAGTCATCCTTGATATCACCTTCTCCATCTGCACCCAATCATATCAAGTAAGTCCTATGCATTTTTTCTCTATTATGTATCTCAAATCCATCTAATTCTCTCCATCTCTACTGCTGCCACCATCCCGGAGCACACCATGACCTCCTAATTATTTCCCAACTTTCATTACATGCCTGGGTCTCTAACCCCATCCTACCCAGCAGCCAGACTAAGCTTATAAAAAACCAAATCTGATCATATTTCCATCTCCTCCAATCGAAATCTCTTAATGGCTTTCCATTCATCTTTGGAGAGGGTCCACACTCCTTGTGGTCTGCAAGGCTTGATGTGATCTGGTCCTGAATAGTTCTCCAGTCTTTTTTACCCCAATATTTTATTGTGAAAATCCAACGGAATGCAAATTGGGAAAAAAATACAGTAATTATCCATAGACTCACTACCTTGATTTAGTCCTTAACATTTCATACTTGCTTTATCATATGTCTATTCATTTATCCATTCCTCTATCCTAGCATTAATCTTTCTTGCTTTTGGTACATTCTAAAATGAACTACAGACTCCAGTCCCGTATTTGTCACTCTTCTTCCTGCTCCCAGCCATAGTTAACTTTCCATTCCTTGAATCAGGCTATTTTATCTCTGAACATTTGTACCTAATGTCCCTTCTACCTGAAATGCTTTCAGCTCTTGTTGATTGCAGATTCATCCTTTAGTTCTCAGCTTCACCTGTCTCTAAGAGGCTGTCCTTGAACGCCTAATCTAAATTAGATCCACCTTTCTACCTTATGACCCCAAGGCACCTTGTGCCTTTCCTAAGTATCACTTATCACAATTGGTAACTATATATTTATTTGCAAGATTATTTGTCTAATACTATCTCCTCTGCTAGATTGAAAGATCCATGAGGACAGAGACCATGTCTATCCTGGAACGTCCTGTATCCCTTCTGCAAAACCTTACTGTTTGTTGAAGGAATAAAAGGCTGAATGAATCCATAATTGAAAGGAGCTACTCAGAACTGTAAACTTATTCTTCCTTTAATATGTATAAACAAGATAGTTTTTAAAAAAGGCTTCTGAGGGAAGGTGCAACCCACTTGTTGCCAGAATATAACCAACAAGTACATTAAGTAATAACAATAGCTATAATGAATTAAGGCTGGGCTTTGTATTAGTCATGTCCCGAGTGCTTGAGTGCTTTCTCTGTATCAAATAATTTTTCTTTGGCATGGGGTCTATTGTTAGTTCCATTTTCCAGCTAAGGAAACTGAGAACAGAGCAGTTATTTTAAAACACCCCATCTATGTAGAATATTCAGTCTGTGGCCCCATTTGAAAGTAGGAAGATTAATCTAGAAAACTCACAGACTGCTATAATGGAGATAGGGTTTTACTTGGCTCTAACAGAAGCCTAAAAATACAGCAGGAAACCCACATATAGAAAGATTTAAGAGATGAATCCTTGGTTAGAAAACCTGGAGTTTCATATCAAAAAAAGAAGAAAGAAACCAATCAAACCGTTGTGTTGACTTTATTTTTGTGGGAAATTTCAGCCCACCCAAGTCCCTTCCTCATATATAACCCCATACACACACTTCAAATTATCCCTGCAAAGGATTTTATGCCAGATGGAAACACAGCTTACACACCAAGATAAAACCATTGCAATCTTTCCCATAGTAAGAGCTGATAGTTAAAGGAAAATGAAGCAGTGCAGAATTTCCTAGTGGGAGAACCTGGCCTTCAGACACTGGCTTGAGTTTGAAGACAAGGTTTTCCACTGACTGTGTGACTTTTGGCAAATTAGTAACATCTCCAGTCCTCGCTTGCATCAGTTTCCTTATTTGAAAATGGAAATAACAACATCCATTTAACAGGGTTTAGATATACTGAAATGCTACACATAAAGAGCTCAGCACAGTGTTTGGAACATAGAAGATGCTCAAAGTTGTTAACCTTAAAAGAGGAGGAAGGATAGGGAAAGGTAGGGGAGGGCAGTAATTTTCATGCTCAGAATTAAAAAAAAAAAGAGTCCTAGGAAATTTATTTAATAAATGCCATCATGCATTATTTTGAAAGAGGGGGAGAGAGAGAGAGAGAGAGAGGGACAGGGAGAGAGGAGAGAGAGACTGAGAGAGGGGAGCTTGGGTGAAAGTGTCCTTTAGCGTTTGCATTGCTCTTAGCTGGATGAACTTGCCTGCAGCCACCACTTACAATGCAAATTGAGTTTAGAGTCCTTCACACTAACTACACAGCAAAAATCTTTCAGCTTTAAATAGAACACTGCAATGTGGAATGATCTGAGCAAATGGAAGAAAAATTCAGAAATACATGTAAGGAGATATTTTGGAGGGAAAAAAAAAAGAACAATCTGACATAACCGAGCAGGTAGGAGGAAACTGTAGAAATATTAAAAGATACAGAAAGGCAAGATCTGTAGAAGGACCTAGAAGCTAATTTCCCACCCAGTAAGTGGATATAAGTTCATAAAGGGGAAGAAAACTTTTGGGGCAAGTTCCCAGGGAGGAGAATTTTAACAAAGATTCTTTTGATCTGGTGCTCTTTCAAGGTATGCTAACACGTCTTAAGGTATTGGAGGAACAGGGACTCTTCCCCCTCTGGAAGCAAAATTGCATGAATCTTCCCTGAAACAAATAGGTCAAAACCATAGAGAACTTCTTGCTCTATCCAACTTCTGGTATTTACATCATTTAAGTTATATTTTCCTTTTATTTCTATACCTTCTCTAAGATCAGATTTTAAAACCTGGAAGCTACTGTGAAATAAACGTTTGTTAGTTTTGAGTGTGTTTAGTATGTGTGTGTGTGTTTGAGAAAGAGAAAGAAATCTGAGAGGTTGATTCTTACATGTCGGAAAGCTCATTGCTATAAACTCATATCTAATTTTTGACTATATGAACCTAGCTTTCTATCCAGAATCAGAATTTTCAAAAATGCAATAAAAATAAGAACAAAGGTAATATCCAGGGCCCTGAAAGCAGTAAAGAATGTCATTTTTAACTGATTTCTTCACAATTGACACTCCTATACACATAGCTCCACTTTGGGCATTTTCTCAGCTTGCTAAGTTTCACTTGCCTGCATAATGTAATATACAAGAAAACACGAAGGCGGCTCTCTTTCTTTGTGGTTACAAACAGAAAGAAATATTCCCCCATAAGCTAACAGACTCAAGGCAACTTCTCTCTTGGATGCCATGCTTAGATACAGAGTTAGTCATATGTTATCAGGTCACTGAGTCAGTGACAAAGCACTAAGACTGAGGGAGAACATCTCACAATCAGGTTGCCATCATGTGCAGAAAAAGAATTGGTAAGTATGGTGCTGTTTAGGGGAGGGATGGTCTGCACATCTTAAAAGCCATCTCTAAGCTCCTAGAGGCCAGAGCTTACAACCCTGCTTTATCTGTCTAGCACCATGGGCATACTAGGCTTGATGCTCTCCAAAAATGATGACAAATGGAGAATATACTTTCAATAGCACTGGGCATTCCTTCTAGCTAGAACTTCCAGAGATGCTTATAGAAGATGCCACCTTTGCCCCCAGATGTGTGTGTATCATTTTATGTCTTTCAGAGCTTGAACCCTTTTACTCCCCCCCATCACATTTCTCTAGGCGTCTTTTGATTTAAATATTAATTAAATATTACAGAAATTTTAGCATCTAAGAATAATAATTTTAAATTAACACTCCTTGAAACATTGTCCTAAAGCACTTCCACATACATCTTCTCGCGTGGATATTACAATGTGGTAATGTAATACTTTGTATGAGTGGCTAAGGATAAAGGCCTACAGGTAGAAAATGAAACCAAAAATGCAAAAGTTTTGGCTTTGGGAGAAAAATGCCTCTACTCTCTATTCACACACAAAAGGCAGAATGAGATTCCACCTGCTGACTTTCCCTCCCTGCCCGCAGAGCACTAGGGCTAAATGTCAGAACAAGCTGGGAGAGGGAGAGACGACAATTTCACCTCTTGGCAAAGCTCAGCCTGCTGAACCCTCTTGCTTTCTGCTGGCTGTTGATTCAGCAGAAACTACTGCTGCAGAATTCATAATGGTGATTTTTAAAGGCCCCACCGACCGCGTTGCTCGCCCCACGTGTCAGCCTCATTCGCTGGCCGCCAGAGCACGATTTCCCCAGCCACCTTTTTATTTTTGCTAATACACTTCCAAAAGAAAAGAGGTTCTCCCGTTTGCAAAGGGCCTTTTGGGATTTTGATTGTCTGAGCAGGTAACCTGGCCGACCGGGGAGATGAATGGGCAGGAAATGAAACCATGCCCTCCCTGTAGCCACTGTGAGACACAACATCGTTTCTCTCAGGGAGGGGGGACCAAGGTCCTACTGGGCCCCTCCCTTTTTATCTCTCCCGAAGACCCCTGCAAATATCTTGGGGGAGGGGTCATCTGCCTTCCTGGGGTCATCTTTCCGGGCGAGAGCCCCGCCCTGAAAAGCCTAATCCCTGAGGGCCATTTTAACTCCCGTGGGCGCCGGGTCCACCTGCTGCTGAACGCCGGGCTCGCCTTGCGGAGCCCGGATCGATGTGGGGCGCACAGGCGGCTGCCGGGGCCAGCCGAGCCCCCGCCCCAGCCCCGGGGCCCGGAGGAGTCTCCGCCACTACGCGCCCAGCTGCCCGCGAAGCACAGTGATCCGCAACTTGCGCCCGGCCCCAGCGGCGGAATGCGGCGGGGCTGGCGTTACCTTCGGTCGCATAGCTGTGGTCGCGCAGGAAACTGTTGTTGATTTTGCGGGTATCAATGTCCTCCTCCATTGACAGCAGGCTTACTTGCGTGGGAACCAGAAGCCGGCAGACAAGTATCCATGATCCCTCCCCGCAGCCAGTCTCACAGGAGAGGGGGGCAGGGGAGCCAGTGGGACTGCACCATGGTCCGAGCCTGAGGAGGAGACGGGGAGGCGGAGAGAAAAAAAATAAAAACCCGGCAATGGAGCTGTCACCTCCTCCACTCGGGTTCTGCGAGGCTGCGGCGGCTCCTCCCGCGCGGTGCGCTCACTCCAGCTCCAATTCCCAGCGAGGATGCTGTGCTTGCCTCCGCTGCCTCCGGGTGCCAAGATGCGCTGTGCCCCGAGGGGTCTGGTCCCGCCCGCCCGCCCGGGAGGCGCTCACAAGCGGGGCTGGGGAGATGCCCAACAGGTTCCCCTCGTTGGCAGCCGCTCCAAAATGCAAAAAAGATCCCTCCTCCCCCTGGGAGAGCGGGCAGCCGCTACAAAATGGTGCCTTTCTGGACCCGAGCTGCAGTGGCGAGATGGCAGGGGCAGGATTCAGGCTTGCCTGGCCGGGATGAGGGTGCTGGTCCCACGGGAGGGCGGCTCCGACGGGCGGGGGTAGGGAAGCTGGCGGGGAGCTGGGCAGGGCGCTGCGGCCGGCGTCAGCGCACTCACCCTCACACCCACACGCGCGCACTCGCAGCTGCTGCTGCTGCTGCAGGAGGCTGGTGCATTAAAGGCGAGGCTCCTCCCAACCGCGTCAGCAGCCCCAGGACTCTTTCCCAGCAGCGGTGGTGGCCGAGGCAGAGGCTGCGGCTGCTCTTTGCTGCAGTGGGGCGCATGCAGCCGCGAACCGGCACCTGGGCAGCAAGCAGCTAGCTTGCAGGTTCACGTGGAACGCTTAGACGTGCTCTTCCAACCTCCTCTCCTCTCAGGCCACTCAGCTAAGGGCCGCGTCTACGCTGACACCTTAGAGCCCCTAGCTCACCGCCTTTCTCCGGACACCTGCACTTGAGGACAGCAAAGAGAAGTAGGTTCCTTTGGATAGTCAGGAAGTCTACATCCAGGTCCCTTTTGCTTACCCTTATATGATGCATGTGGTCCCTTGGTGAAGTTAAAGGTTAAGGTTTGGGGCTCCAAGCTTCAGAAAAAGAGGAGTGAGTGGAAAGCGCTGCTCAGAGCCTATCTTAAGCCTTCTATACTAGCAATAGAAGGGAGAGCAGGAGCCAGAACTTTGTAACTGACTCCTCCATTCCTATGAGTTAAATATCTTCTAATTGTAGGAGGCTGGTATTCAATAAAGCATTTGTGTCTGCACAGGTGGAGGAAAGCACATGGCTGAGTTGTGAATGTAGTCAACAGGGTCAGGCTGAAAAAGTCCACTCTCCCTTGCCCTTTGCACTTCGTTGTGGACAATGTACTGCAGCCCCTCTGTTAGGTTTTGCTTGTGCAGGAACACCTTCCATTTGCTCTCAGCATGGAAGATACACTGAAGCACAGGAACATAAGCATAAGAGCCCTGTGCCCAGGGAACCACTGCTACCCGGGGGGATTTTCAGGTAACCAATTAATACAGAAAAGAGACCTGTCTTCCCACTTCAACTAGGAAAAAATATAGAATTCCACCCCCACCCATGTTTTCCCAAATTTCAAACTCAACTTTTGAAAGAAAATAGGATCATCATTATTATGAAACAACCAAAAACATTTAATGAAGCAACCCAAATCATTAGAAAGCCAATGTGGAAAAGGCATTTCCTAGGTTTCATCTTTTAGAAGGTATTCATTTCAATGGGTATCACAGCAGAGAGAGACATCAGCAAATGTCTTGCTCAGTTAAGCTCCGCAAGTTTAGCTAGATGAGCCCAGAGGGACCTATGAGTTAATTATGTACACACAATGCTTCGACTAACACAATTTAGAAAGTATTTGAAGTTCAAAAAAATGGAAAAACAAGTCCTTAACTGATGTTGGGAATTGTCATTAGATTTCCATGCAGTATGGATACTTCTGGTACATAGAAAATGGCATCATCCCCATCTTCAGAAAGTGACTGCGTATCTCTGGGAGAAAAAGAGTAGAAATGTTCCTTGACATAGTTTTTGTTTGTGTGTATGTGTCGGGAGGGAGTTCAACTTTCAATAGATTCCAGTTTATTTTCATCTGGTGGTTAAGGCTTACACACTTGTTTGTTCAAAATCCACATTTGGAATTTTAGTAACAGGTGAAGATGGGTACAAGTTGATTTAATCCACTTCAGTACCAGTTGTCCTGGCTGGTTCTTCCATGAGATGAGATGCATCTATCATCAAGGTCTAACATTCAGTCCTTTTGTAGTTACACAGTCCAACTTCTCTTGGAGACTGGCATAATCTGGAGTAGGAGTGGGGGAGGGGGGTGAGTGGGGCCAGGGAAGCTAAGTTCATCTCTTAGTGAATCAACATGATGAGAAGACATTATGCCTTCAGTTGAAATGACCTTAAATTGTTTCAGGAGGCCTTGGAATAGTATTTGGGAAAATTTCTTCCTTATCTTTCTGAATCATGGGCTAGATTGAGACAGAGCTGTGTAATGAATCAGGTAGGCCCAGGCTCATTGTCCAGGCTGTGCTTGAGGAATTTTCGCCCTGTCGCCCAGGCTGGAGTGCAGTGGCACGATCTCAGCTCACTGCAACCTCCACCTCTCAGGTTCAAGCAAGTCTCCTGCCTCAGACTCCTGAGTAGCTAGGGCTACAGGTGCCCACCACTGTGCCCAGCTAATTTTTGTACTTTTACTAAAGACGAGTTTTTGCCATGTTGGCCCTGCTGGTCTCAAACTCCAAAGTGCTGGGATTACTGGAATGAGCCATGGTGACCGGCCTCACTAGATTTTTCATATTGACTAACTGGCACTTAGTAGATCTTTAATTATATTTGTTTGAGACAAACATTTCTTAAACAAATGAATAAATTGCTGAATATCTCATTTTAATATTTAGGGTTCATACCTCTACCCTTCTTAAAATTCATACTAAAATAATCTGTTGAGATCTGGAAATTTTCTAGATTCTAAGCCATATTCCTATTGAAATAATTGTTTCTATTTATTCCTGTACACATATACATGATCAAAATTTACTGAGCACTTAACATATGCAAAGAATTGTTCTGGCCGGGCCCGGCGACTCATGCCTGTAATCCCAGCACTTTGGGAGGCTGAGGCGGGTGGATCACGAGGTCAGGAGATTGAAATCATCCTGGCTAACATGGTGAAACTCCATCTCTACTAAAAATACAAAACATTAGCCCGGCGTGGTGGCACGTGCCTGTAGTCCCAGCTACTCAGGAGGCTGATGCAGGAGAATTGCTTGAACCTGGGAGACAGGGGTTGCAGTGAGCTGAGATCGGATCACTGCACTCCAGCCTGGGGGACAGAGCGAGACTCCATCTCAAAAAAAAAAAAATGTTATAGGTGCCAAGGATATAGATTTATATAAAACAGAGATCCTTTCTTCATAGAACTTAAATTCTATCATCTAATTTTAATAACATGAGCTTTCTTAGAAATACAGCAAATGCATTCTATATCAACTGACTATAGTGCAATGTTAAGTGCTAAGGATCCAATATCAGGCAGAGCTAATTTTCTGTCAATTACTTTTGTTTCCTCAAGGAAGTTACAAGATCTCCCTAAACCATGGTTTTCTTACCTATAAATTAGGAAGACGAATAGTATTTATTTCATAGAGTTGTTACAAGGATTAAATGAGATAATATGTGGAAAGAATATACTTCTATTACTTTGAGTATTTACTTTCACCATCATCACCACCATCAAAGTTCAACAAATGTACAAGTATTTACTAGGTCAGACACTGGGATAGGATCAGAGATTCAGCAGAGATTCAGTAACATCAGTGCATAAGATGTAGTCAGTCTCTGATGTCATAGAACTTAGTGTCTAATTTACAGTTTATGTAAAAGGGGCCATAGTCTACAAAGGGGGCAGCAGAGGGAGCTCTGAAAGACTGGCCTATTTCAGGCTTATGCTTTTGTTGTTGTTGTTGAGACTGAGTCTCACTATAAGGCTAGAGTGCAGTGGCACAATCTCGGCTCACTGCAACCTCCACATCCGGGGTTCAAGCGATTCTCATGCCTCAGCCTTCCAAATAGCTGGGATTACAGGCACACTCCACCACACCCAGCTAATTTTTGTATTTTTAGTAGAGATGGGGTTTCACCATATTGGCGAGGACAGTCTCGATCTCCTGACCTTTCCCCAGCTAATTTTTGTATGATTAGTAGAGATGGGGTTTCACCATATTGGCGAGGACAGTCTCGATCTCCTGACCTTTCGATCCACCTGCCTCAGCCTCCCAAAGTGCTGGGATTACTGCGCCCAGCCTCAGGCTTATGCTTTACATAGAAAAGGCCAATTACAAATACACAGCCTTCGTAAGTTACCCAGCTCAGTATGACAGCATGTGGACACATTCTTTTTTTTTTTTGGCCACCCTTGTTATGGTCCCTTTCCCCAACACTCACATACCCACTCCTCCTTCCTTAGGCTAATGCTTCCTACCCTGGAACCTTTTAGGTCATCCTGTCCAATTAGCACATTAAATATCTACAATTTTATTAAAACCTTTGACCTAAGCCAGTCTGGAGATTCTTAACAGAGGCTTTAGGTGTCAGACAGTCCTGGTTTGTGTCCCAGCTCAGGCACTTATAAATTGCATGACCTTTGGTGAGTAATTTAACATCGCTGAAACTCTATATTTGCAAAATGGAAGAAAACAATAGTTTCTAGTTCACAGGATTGTTGGGTGGCTTCAGAGGCAAGGTAAGGAAAGTGCTTAATCCAGGTGTGGCTCAGAGCCAGGCTTCACTAAACTGACTGTTCTTCCTTTTGCAGTACTTCATGAGATCTCCCATCTGCAGAGAATTGGAGAGATGCACTCCGAGTCAATTGTTCATGTGAACAGAAGTGACCTAGAAACCTTGGTATTACTGCCTATCAATCTGCCTTAATGAACAGCTGGAAACGGGATACATGAAATTTTATCATCTTGCAAAAGGCCGTTTATAAACCATGAAGACGTGTGCAAATGAAAGGAATTAGGATTATCTTCTCTTGGCTTTCACATTATATATGTGCAGACCTAGTCACATTTCTCTATTGTGGAATCATA